CAAACAAAAGCCTAATTTTGATCCCCTTCCTGTTAATCAACTTAAACTGTGGAAGGTTAATGTCTCCCTCCTCGAATCCAATGAGAAGTTAACAGTACTTGTTGAAAAAGAACCTGCCGTGATCGAACAAAAATTGAAGGGGGAAAGGCTATTGGCACCGAATGACGTACAAGATTATTTTAGTGAACAACCCGCTAAAAAATTTATACATATCATTGTTGAGAGTCCGCCTAGTAAGTGAAATTGCATTGTTTAGTTTTTATCCATTTTACCTTGACTGGCTTTGATTTCTCATTTGCATATTTATGTCATAGTTGAGAAACCAGCGTCAACTATCACACCAAGTCGTGAACAAGAATTACAAAACAAAATCAGCTCATTGGAGGCACTGCTTAACAAATCGACACATAGTACGTATAAATTGGGAGAGACTTTATTGAATTTCCTGTGACCTTTTAATAGCCCATCGTGACTATGCAGATTTTAAGGTTATTGTTAGTCCGAGATGGAAGAATGGATTCAAGTGGACGTAGATATCGATCATGCGACCCTTGAAAGTCTAAAGAAAACAATATATGAAATTGAAAATACGCCAACACTAGAGAAGAATGGTGCGATACTTAACTTCAAGGTTAAAAATGGAAGCGACGGAAACGATGAAAGATGGCGCCCCGAAATGATCAAAAATTTCGTGAAATGCTTCGACAATTCGTTTCGAAAAAAAACTTTACATTTACTGTATTAATAGGAAATCCTTCAAAGCCCTTCTCTGAATGGGATTTTACAGATGTGTGCCGGCTCTACGGACTTTGTGAAAGTGGAGATGATCCATCATTTTCAATATTCCCACCTTTTATATGTGGATGCAAAGATTTAAAAGATGATTCCTCGCGGGAAATACTTAAACATCTTATAGCTGAACTGAAGGCTCGTCTCAAGTCCGCTCCAATCCATGTAAATGAAGCATCGAAATCACATTATATGTTTTCGTACCTTCTTTCCGGTGCAAATTTTTATGAAGGCATTTACGAGATACGATCGGAAAAAAATATCACAGGACCTAATGGGCATGGGCCAGTTGATTTCGCAATAGACTTACTTCGAACTTCAAAAACTGCTTGCGTGACAGAAGTCAATCACGAAGATTTTTATAAGGGCATTGCTCAGAATGCCATTCAAATTGAGTCAGCTTTGTCAAATCGCAAGCGTAAGTCTGACGAGATGGAGGAAGAAAGATTTGTGAACAAGGTGTTTGGAATTGTCACAGATGCGGAAAAGTGGTATTTTTGGAATGTTCTTACGATGATCAAGAAAGACCGAAATTCAAATTACAGTATCTAGATCGATAGCTGTTGCATATGACAATGAAAATATGGAAAGTATGGTTGAAAAAGTTCTCGGACATATTGTCTGGTTATTGGAAGAGGTACAGAAGCCGACAGAAAGTTTACAAAGTGAAAGGAAACCCAAGGCAAAAAGGCAAAAGCCACAAGAAATATCGTAGTTGTTAAAATAAAAATATCATGGTATCACAGAATAAGTCCCTCTCTTTATGATATATTTTAGTTTATGGGATTTATGCTATATCATAATAAAAAGTAGACTATTTTTGAAAGTCGTGTTGCGGATAAAGATCAACAGATAATATGTAAATTGTTCATATTGATTATGTAATGGTTATACGAATTGAAAAAATATAATAATAAATATATATTTGCGATTGTGGTTAATTTTTCAATAAGTAAAATTAATGATAGAATTACACAGATAATCGTGGGAGATAAGAATATTTAAAGTTATAATTTATTAAATAAGACCCAATTCTCGAAGATGCTCTAGAATAACTACATATGGGTCTTCGTAATACCAAACATACCTTAGAACAATCCAGTTTTCTTCACACAATTCTTTCTTGAGTTGATCCCGTTCTTGCTGTTTGATAAAATTATCGGGATCTCCTCTATGAAAGAATTCCATATATTTTTCATGTTGCACCCCTTGAATTTCAATAGCTAGACCATATTTTGAGTAAAAAATATCTAATTCTAATCCCATATGGTGTTCTGATGTTTTGAGAAATTAGGTCGACGTATCTTAGATAGCGGTCCAAGATATTTTTATATAATTTCATCTTCACGTTTAAATTTCGAACAAAATGGATACCACGTGCCTCTTAAAATACAATTAGGAGTAGCCTCCCATTGCTGATTTTCTTTACAACACCAAATGAGTTTTGTATAAGAATTATAGTATTTTTCTGATAAACATTTTCCACCTTTTCTTTCTGCAAAAGCACGCATATCTTTAATCGTTTTATTGCGACCTCTATAGAAAGGACACCAGCTACCCCAATTTTTAGACTCTGAAAAAGAGCAGGCCATAAATGCCCATTAACACAACGCCACAACATAGGTAAACGACTATTTATAAATATTTTGGAAAGACATTCTCCATTTTTAACACAAGCAAGCTGTTGTGCGTCTTTAAGAGTTAAACAACTTTCATTTGCACATTGTGGGCACCATTTATTGCCATTTTTTATTCTGTTAAGGGCGCAGACCACAAATGACCTTTAGAACAACATCATTTTAATGGAAGCTTACAATTAATATAGTTTTCAGACATGCACCATTCCGTTTGATTGCAATTAGTCTAGCATTCTCAAGTGTCAATTGGTAGTTGTGAGCACATTGTGGGCACCATGTAGAATCATTTTTTATACTGCAAGGAGAATCGAGCCATTCATTCCCTCTGGAACATTTCCACAAAAGTGGTTTGTTAGATTTCTCAAAATTTTCAGAAAGGCATTGTCCATTTCGGCTATGTGCAATTAATTTTGCTTCTTCAAGGCTAAGAGGCCTATGATTTGTACAGTGCGGACACCAAGATTTTGAATTTTTTATATGATCAAATTTTGCATACCATTCATGCCCTTTATTACGATACCAAAGAAGTGGAGTTTTGTTGCTTTTATATTCTGTAGAGAGACACAAACCAACCCGTGCTTCAGCAATTGTACAAGCATCATTTAAGGATAATTTTTTCATTGAAAATAGATTATTATTAATAATTATCTGGTTTTTTTTTAATATGAAACTTTATAAGAAACACCAATTCACTGGGCATGTCATGTTAGGATGGCTCTTCAAGAATTATTAGGTCCAGAAGGCTCACGTTCTACATTTCACCAGTATTGCCTTCATGCCACATATATATACAAGGTGCGAATTTTGACAAATATAATTACAGTAAAGGTAAATTATATGTGAATGGTACTGCAATATGTTTTTGTTGTATGAAACTTATGTCTGTCAATTTAAATTTAGGTCCAGATGCAAATCCATTCAATTTAATTAAAGATCATTATGATTATGAATGCTCAAGACCACAAACTGATTTTGGATGTGTAAGGGTTATACAAAGCCCTTGGAAAATTTTTAGAGAAAGGGATCCATCAAATGCAAAACTTGCTTGGAACAGCTTAGTGAATGATAATACTCCAGATGATAAAAAATTTCTAGGTTTAACTTGACATAAAGTGAAAAATCCTCAGACTCAAGAATAATTTAATCAGTGATGTACTAAATAGATGACAATATATAAAAATGAGCCTAGTTTGGTTTCTTGAATATTATCAAAGTTATTATAAAGAATATTATATTCCAGATTGGATATATGCTAAAAAGAGTCAATTACAAGATAGATTCTGAAAGTGACTTAGAAATAGAAGCATAGTATTTAATCGATTATATAATTTAGTTACATAACCTATTTATTCATATATATATCTATTTATTTGAATTAGGAACCACTTATTTATTAATATATTATGATTATTTTTTTTTAATTTTTTTTACAAAATCCAAGACATTTTCATGGGTGTTATTGTTAATATCTACTCAATGGTTCTTTTAAGGAGTTTATAGTCCTTCCCCATAAGTACAAGACTTCTAGTTTGGTTATTCCTTGATTTTTAGAAGGCACAGTTAGTTTTTAGATAGAACTAACAAACTAATATTCCTCCACTTTAATCATAATACATCCATTTTAATATTATATCTCTCAACTTCCAAGCTTCCTTAATATTATATATTCATAATTTCATCATAACATCCTTATTAATTTATCTTCATTATCTCATCTTAATATCCTTAAATAATATATCTTCATAACTTCCATTTATCATCTTTAGTATTGAATAAATACTTTATTATCAAACTTCCTCAATAATTATTAGAACAGAACAAATATAATTAATTATTTAATTAATTATATAACTTCCATTTGATATCCTTACTTCCACTTTATTATATTCAATAAGTTATCATTTATTAACTTGGATGACAATATTTATTATTTCACTTCCACTATGTAAATTTAATGGGAATTTACATACATACACTTATGTAAATAATTATATTTCATCCTCTGAGAATTACAATTGATTAAAGTTATAAAAATATAAAATTAAAAATTGTAAAAACTACTGAAACTATTTGAGGTAAGGGGTATATTTATACTACTATGCTACAAATACTATTTGATAATAATTATAAATGGTATAATACTAATAATATTAATATAATAACTGTTACCAGATAATATTAAATATAAATAATTAATAATAATAAATGTTAAGTAATACTAATTGGTATTATCTGTTTTACATGTGATTAAACTAATATGTTTAAAATATTAATAATAAGTTAAATAATTGTTCATCTTCTGTTATAATGTATTGATACTACTAATTATATTGAATGTTTGATTGATAATTATAATGTTACATTTTATACCATAACAACATATAACATATATATTATTCTCTTGAATACATATAACTAATTTTACACTATTTTTTTTTGTTTTAAACTACAAACTTTTTTCAGGATTCTACAGAATTCAAAAGAATTTTTGACTCAGTACATCAAATAAAATTCAATCAAGCATATACAAATTTAATAAAACAATTATCACCTTCATTTCTAGAAGAATTATAGAGACGCTTAACTACAAAAAAGCCCAATTCACTAACAGAATTGGAAGCATGTGGTATAGATCCAAGTATTGAAGATTTTTTGCAACATGAAATTATAGTTTATAATAGGAAAAAAGAGTGACAACATCAAAGTTCATCACCACTTGAAAATTTATCAAATAATATAAACATGATGAGGACTGTGATCCAACCTTCAAGGAATATGATTAACTATTAGCTAAAGATATGGTAACTAAACTAAAATATGTTTCTTCTAACTAATTTATATTACAAAAAGTATGATGTTTGAAGTATTTTATTAATAGAATTAGCAAAGGAACTGAAGATTAGTTATCAAACTAATTCTAACTGACTAATTCACTATCTGAAAGAACTAACTCACTGACTAACAAAGAGAATTTCAGCTCTTTATATACATAATTGAAGTTATAATAGATTATGCTGTAGACTACACATTACACTATTGAATACACTATTGATTACACTGTACACTATGCTGCTCAAATCTACAGTCATAATACTTAATAGTTGTACCGATTTCTAAATGATTTACATTAATAATTTCCTATAAATATATACTAATAAAATATGAAATTAAGCTAATAAAATATAATTAGACTAATAAATACATGATGTTAATGCAGTAATTTTGAATTAGATAAAATTATATAAAAATATCAAATCAAATTAATGATCGTAATGTCAATCGATTTCAATGAATATTTATTATAAATGCTAACTATCTTATAGAAACTTATAGCTAAGAACATATTCTACAACTTTAATTATAAGTATATCTGATGGGTTTTATTGAAAATTTTGACTTTACTTAGACATAACTTTAAATATCTATAATTATTAAGAATATAATATCAACATAAAAATCTGAAAATGAATGCCAATGTAAAACTTTATTTTTTAATATATCTAAAAAAATTAGTTTTATTATAATAATTATTATTACTTTATCAGTAATTAATAAAGCTTTATATATACAAATGATGACATCATTTTTTAAACTTTTTTATTTTTTCAAAATATAGTATATTAATATCAATCAAAAAAAATTTTTTTTTACATAGTAACAGACTTATTTTCATTAAAAAATTTTCAATGCCTAAAACTCATGAACTTACAGAATTTGAACATGGTGAAATTATTGGTCTTTGGAAAGGTGATCATAATGAATGTGATATTTCAAGTATTCTTGATTTTCCTAAAACCACTATTTATGATACTATTGAAAGACACAGAAAAGACAACCACATTTCAAGTGCTTCTATATCAGGTAGACCTCCTAAATTGTCTAAAGAAATATTAGAGAACTTGTAAAGATTGTAAAGAAAATTGACAACAATCTTTAAATAAAATAACTGAAAAATTTAATGATTTATCAATAGTTTCAGTGAGTTCTTGTATAGTTAAGCATGCATTACATAATGAAGGTTTCTTTGGATGTACAGGAAAAAGAAAATCTTTAGTATAAGAAGCAAATGTCAAACTAGAAAAAATTGGGATTTAGAATGGAATAAAATAATTTGAAGTGATGAATTAGGATTTTTATTATTTCAAAATGATTCAAATCATTGGGTTTGGCATCATCCACATGAAACATATGATGTAAATTGCTTAATTCCAACTATTAAATCTGGAAATCAAGGTATAATGGTATGAGGATGTTTTAATAAAAATAAAATTGGTTCTTTATTCAAGTTTCTGGTAAAAGAACAGGTTCTGAATATATAAAAGTTTTGGAGAATCATCTATTGCCATTTATTAGTGAATTAGATAATAACTTAGAATATGATTTCCAAGATGATAATGCACCTGTTCACCATGCAAAAATAGTTAAGCAATGGATAGAAAATAATTTAGCAAAAAGTATCCCTTGGCCAGTACAGTCTCCAGATCTCAATTCAATTGAGCATTTATGGGATGTTTTAGAAAGGAAAGTTTGTAAACATGATCCACATCCAAAATATCTTACTGAATCAATGGTTGTTTTAGAAGAAGAATGGTATAAAATTGAACCTGTATTTTTAGAAAATTTGGTAGATAGCATGCCTAGAAGAGTTCAAGCAGTGATAGATAGTCATGGAAATCCAACAAAATATTATTAATCAATATAAAATTTGTAATAAAATAATTAAATTTATTAAATAAAAAGTTTTTATAATATTATAATATAAATAATTAAAGTTATGTCTAAGTAAAGTCAACATTTTCAATAAAAAATATCAGATATGCTTATAATTAAAGTTATAGAATATGTTCTTAGCTATAAGATAGTTCCAATTTTAGCAAACAAGATATCATATGATAGCTCTAAATAAGGAGATAATTTTAAAAAATTTTATATAGATTAATTAATTCATTGTATTATAATTGGTGTTTGAAACTATGAAACATATTAGCAAAAAATTCATAACGATCTTGAAATCATATCATTGTCGATCATTTTACAATTTAGAGAAAATTATAAATTATTTTCTCATATAAAAGTTCATTTTTGATGAAGAAAATATTAAATTTGATACTAATGAACTCAAATAGAACATTATTGTGCATCTACTGTAAAACTTTTAGACCTATATCGTTAGAATTGATTGAATAATTAACATTTAAACTTAAAAACATTTTCTTTAATTATTCTATCAATTATAATGATTCAGGCCTGAAACTCTTATAGTAGATGCGCAATGATTTTTTCTTTGAGTTCCCTTTGTATCATTTTTAATATTTTCTTCGTCACAAATGAACTTTTATATGAGCGAACTATTCATAATTTTTTTTTAAATGGTAAAATGATCAATGGTAAATTTTGATCGTTTTAGATGTGTCTAAGTAAAGTAAAAATTTGCACTAGAAAATATCGAATACTTTACTAATTAAAGTTGTAACATATATTATTAGCTACAAATTCATATAAGATGCTTTATAGTTACGATTAATATCCATTGAGATCGATAAATGTTAATTTTATAGTTTCAAAATTCGATTTTTTGTTGATGTATTTGAATCAAAATTTCTTGACGACTATGCATCCAAAATTAGTAATCAAGATATAATATGAAAGCCCAAAACCAGGTCAATTAAATAAAAAAAAAGTTGCCTCATTTTTATATGTTAGATCTCAAGTTATTGACGGATCAAAATTTACTTTATAATTGATAATTTTTGGATACTTTTGCTATCAGGATTAATTCGTGATTCGCGAGAAACGGAAAGATCTACATTAATAAATATATACACTCACCTACCTGGCTTGAAAATTAAATTGAATTTGATTATAACAATGATTATAATGATGATGGTGACGATAATAATGATGAGTTAATAAATGATGATAATGACGATAATAATGATGAGTTAATAAATAATAAAGTATGAATAAAATTCGTAATCGTACTGTACTATACTAATTTCCGTTCAAAATTGAATTTATGCCAATCTCACACGATTCTTATAGTTTAAACGTATTTTATTATGAATTCAATTAGTTTTAGTTAATTGATTACGTAGTGTAATCCAAACTAATCTTGCAAAATACAAATTACGTATTCATGTCATGAAAAACCACTTAAAGTTAGAATTTCAATAATTTAATTCATTCAAGAATTTTTTTTTTTAATATGATAAAACTGAAAAATTTCACAATTATATGGATGTTCGTGTTGTTCGTTTCTAGAAATGGAATTTAGAAAATCATAGATTGTCAAAATAATATTGGTAAACAACAATGAGATATTGCATCTTTGTACATTATTGTACTCATTTAACCTCATACAACCTCATTTAAGAATGCATAAACGTGCATGTGTAGAATGTACAAATAATGTAACTTGGAGAGAATGAGAATGAAATAAACGATACACCTCATTTAGCGAGAATTAATAGCAAATTAAATAAATAAAATGATTGTACCTGTACCTTCCTCGCTTTCGCCAGTATTAATTAATGTCAAAAATGGAGAAATCGTTCATCAAGTATGTTTTGTTGAAAAATTTTTTTTTAAAAAAAAAATAAAAAAAAATTAAACGATATTTTATCATTTATTTATTTTGCGAAATTGATATAAAAATAAAATAAAATGATATAAAAAAATTAATGTATTTAAATTCCCGGAATTTCTATAATAGCGAATCTTGTTAGTTTATGGACAAGCGGGTCCCAAAGATAGAGACTTTAAATCAAATATTACTGTTGAACATCATGTTAATAATTTTCCTTCAACCACTTGGCCAGTTTTCAATTCTCATTTCAAAAGTCTCGTACATCTTGATCCTGGTCCTAATGATATAAAATTCATTCTTGATCAAGAACCTTATTCATCACCATCAACTTTTTCACCACCATTAACAACCACGATAACCATTAATTATATCCCATTATTACAAAATCCTCCTTTACATTTGGCTATTTTAGTAGCTAAAGATTCTAATTTGGTTATTGATGCGCCACCCGAAAAAGTTGTTAACGCAGAAAATAATTTATCGAGTGTCGTAGCTAAATTTAGATGTGCCGCTTATTTGTGGCAAGCTTTTACTGCCGAACAGATGGACCGGAATGGATTTGGGAAAAGGTTAATTATTAATTAATTATTAATTATTATAAATTATTATTATTATTATTTATTATTTATTATTTATTTATTATTCATTATTTATTAATTATTATTATAATTACTTATTTATTTAATTTATTATTATTTTATTATTTTATTATTTATTATAATTTTTTATTATATTTGTTTAGAGTTTTTCGATTAGAAGAAGAATGGCAACCAGGTAAACGATTTAATCAATTTTAAATTTTATTTTATTATGTATCAATAAAAATAAAAATAATAAACGTTACTAAAATTTCTGTAAAAAAAAAAAAATAATAATCAATAGATACAATCTCGGGACAAAAACGCGCATTGCGTCAAACCGCCAAAATTCACATTGTCAAATCAGATTTTACCTTAAAAGAAATATTGGATCCACAAAGAGCTCAACAATATAAACCACCTCCAGGTGAAGAACCCAGTAAAAAAGAAAGTTTATATGATATATTCATGAAAGCTTTAAAAAATTATGGACCCCCTTTCACTGATCCTAGAGATAACAGCGATAAGGATAATAGCCTTCAATGTTACGTTGCCGGATTAATTCTAGATTCTCATTGGGATCCTAAAATGAAATTAATTCGAGGTCATGCAGCTTTGGGAGGAGGAGATGGTGATATTAGATTAGGAATATTTGGTAGTCACGCAACTCATGCTTGGCCAAAATATTTAGAAGAAGTTGTGAATTGTTTTCAAGATAATACGAAAACCGATGAAAGTATTTTAGCTAATGATTGTGGAGAAAGCGGAACTTGGTGGAGATGTTGTAATATTGGAATTGGAGCTATGGTATTTATTATTATTTATTTATTTATTTATTATTTATTTATTATAATTATTTTAATTATTTTAATTATTTTAATTATTTTATTTATTTTATTTATTTTCATTTTGTTTTCATAGTTGCATGAAGTAGGTCATGCTTTAACTTGTCCGCATTCTGCCTCAGGTATAAATCATAAATAAAATAATAATAACATCATAACCTAATTATATTATTATAATGATAATGATAACATAATAATAACATCTAAATATTATAGGAATAATGTCACGAGGATTCAACAATCTAAACCGAACATTTACCGTCCAAGAACCAAATAATCCTTATCCTATTAAACCTTCCGATGAAAATGGAGCACATTGGCATAGATGTGACGTACTCAGATTTCGATATCATCCGTGTTTCCGTATTCCTCGTGATCCACCCAGAAATTATGATAATTTATGTCCTGATTTTTGGCCATCTGATGATGCAATATTAATTTGTTGTAATTCGAATATATCATTAATCGAATTGCATATTAATGATCGATATAAAGATCACTTTGAATTTATTGATTATTTTAGAGATAATTATGGTGATGATAGAAATAATAGTAATGATGGTAATAGAAACAGATTACATGATGGTGATGTGAAATTAAGTATATCCGAAATTAAAAAACGTATTAGTTGGAATCCTAATGATATTATTTCAATTCAAGTTATTGGAAGAAATCAAACAGAAAATTCGTTAAATAATATCTTGAAATTCTTAGATGAACATCAAATCGAATTACCATCTATAGGAAAAGCGTTAAAAAGTTCAATGTTAGGGAATGGTCAAGGACAAAAATTTCAAGTGATATTCAAAAAATCATCCGAAAAATCTTCTTCATATCTAAAAAAAGTAACCATAAAATATGGATCATTTATTGATTCTATTAACTTTTTTTGGTCAGATGAATCAGTTTCATCTATAGGAGGTAAGGGAGGTCATAATAAATATAGTTTCACTTTAGATAAGGAAGAAAAGATTTTAGGCATTAAAGTTAGATCTGGTTGGTGGATTGATGGATTAATGTTTAAAACTAATAAGAAAAATACTGAATGGATTGGTGGTAACGGTGGTTCTTTACATAATTTATTTTTACCTAAAAATTATGAAATGATAGGAATCTTCGGAACTAAAGATAAATTAATTGATGGTCTTGGAATTATTTATCAAAAACAATAACAATTGATGACATAAGAGTATTACTGTTATTTATTATTTTATTATTTTATTATTTTATTATTTTTATTATATATTTTTTATTATTTTTTATTCTCATTCGACGACATTCGACGAAAATAAAACTGCAACTATTTTTATTTATTTAATTAGCTTTGTGTCAATTTTTTTTTTTTAACCATTAATTAAATAATTTCATGACATGAGTGATAATAACGATTGTTAAAAGCCTTGTCATAATTATTTCATTATAGAATTTTCGACAGCACGAAGCATTTGAAAATTTTGATTTCGGCAACCCAATTCTCTTCGTGTAATTCTTTTTTCAGTTGATCTTGTGCTATAACATTTTAATTAAACTTTTTAAACAGCTCAGTGAAAATATCTAATATAATGTTGTATGACTCCCCGGGTATTTCAAGAGTGAATCCATATTCTGAATAATAAATATCAAGCTCTGATCCTCTACGAATGATAGAAGGTAGGCAAGTATTTCATATATGACCCTTAGAGTAACCATCATTTATGACCTTTGACCATTGATAAACTTTTAGAAATGCACTCCGCACCTTTATTAAATGCGAACTAATTAAATTTTAATTTTAAGAATGCATTTTTAAACTGGAAATAATAATGTGCATTATTTTATTATTTTATCGAACATACTTTGCTTTCTAACTTTCTTCATTTCACTAATTTTCTTTTTTTTCAAATTAAGGATACCATAATATGTTTAATTGAATTTTTATTTGCGATTTTACCTATCTTTCATTTCTTATTGTTTTAGGTAGAAAATGATTAATTATCTGTTGCTTTTTACTGTATTTTTTTATTTTTTATTTTTGTTTGTTCTAATGTGAGATGTCTGTTCTATTTTGTGGGTAATCAAGTTGTGAACTTGGATTTCTCGAACATTTAAATGCAATGTCTGCACAAAACTATTATATTAACATTTACTTTTCATAGGTTAGAAAAGTATATCTCAAGGAGACTGCATTTATTTGTATATAGTGATCTTTGAAAAATTATAAGAATGTAGTAAGTACATGTTATTAATGTTTCGAGTGAATAAAAATATCTCTTATTAAACAAGTATGATATTTAACTATAATAAATATTGAATCTTATTTTCAAAACAAATGAAATAATACAATTATTATTAAATGCATAAAAACGTTTTTATTTATTATCATCATTGGTGTTTCAATTACTAGAAAATAAATTTTTTTCGTTCATACAAATATGATGATGATACTATATATCTAATATTAATATTTTAAGTTAATTGAATTTATAAAAATGTAATAATAAAAATACATAAAATACATAAAACTACAATTTAATTTAATTTAATTAAAAATCAAGTATATACGCCAACTGGTCCAGAAGCAATTAAATGAAGAGAATTGAAAGAATTAAATATAAATAACTAAATATAAATAATTAAGAAGAAGTAATGAATAACTACCTAAATCATATATACATAGATTTAGTTATTTCTTTAAGTTCTTTTTCAAAATTTTCATCATTCATAGGTTTTGGAAGACTTGAAAAATTGAGAAGTCGACTAGTATAAATTGCTAGTGGATGCATTTTGTAATTGAATGGAGTTATGGATGTTTTATTTGATAGATTTTTAGAAAATTTTTGAGCATTATCAAATATTTTCCATAAATTTTCAAAAGTAGGTCGATGAATAACTCGAGAATCCCAACACTTCATGATTATTCTTGTAATTAATGTTGGTGTATGAAATGGAATTTTTGGTCGTAATACATTGCAAATTTGTAATGACAAATCTCTATCATGCGGAATATCATAAGATGGTGCAAAACCAGTAATTAATTCATAAGCAAGAATTCCAAAAGAGTAGACATCAGCGGCTTTTGTAAATTCTTCTCCGCATAAAACTTCTGGAGCGATATAGGATAATACACCAGCAATACTTCACTTATTATGATTTCCTAAATTTTGTTCAACTATTTTACTTAATCCAAATCCGAAATATATAAAGGACTAATTTTAAAATCATCCGATACATTGTTTAAAACTATATGATAATTTATATACCCATTTTTAATTTTCTTAATTTTTTAATGGGTAAAATAATTGAGAAAAAAAGGAAAAAAAAGTGAAATGAAATTTTTTCGAATTTTTTTGGCTCTTCGAAAGGAGAAAATTAAAATTACCGAATACTTATCATTTAATGTTACTATTTGTTATACAATTTTATTATTTTTGCCAATTTTGAAAAAGAATGATATATTTTGGTACGAATTTTTGTAACCGATTACATTCGTTGAATTAAACATAATATATATGTATCTTTGCTTCAACAACAATACTCGGCAATAAGTCTATAACACTTTTTATAAAAAATTATCTAGAAAAAAGTGACATGACAAAAATAAAATATATCATACCAGCTGGTAAAGCAACACCGACATCGCCTTTAAGTACAATCTTTAATCAACGTGAGATAGAAAAGCAATAGATTTTTGTAAAGAATTTAACGGACGTACCAGAAATTATGAAATTAATATACCAATACCTAGTATTCAATTCATTTTAAAATTTTTAAAGACGGTTCATTAGGTAAAATTAGTTTATGATATTTATTAATTAAAAATCAAGATAATATATTAAATTTTGAATTAAACAATATTTGTAAAAGTATAAGTTGATGATGAGTTGATCATTTTTATATTTTTCATCAAGTAATAATAAATATCTCTGTTCCTCTAATCTTCTAGAATCGTCTAGAATCTCTCCAACCTCAACCATCATGCTGTGCTTTTATTATTGTACCTACTGTAAATGAAAATCTCATCAGCTTATAATATAATCATACAAAGGTTTAACTGAATGCTTATATAATTATTGACATATAAAGATTTTTTTTTATAATTATTATCTCATCATTAGTATAAAAAATAATTATTATTTCATACTATATAAAAATTCAAAATTCATACTGATGAAAACTTGGATGCATCTCGCCTACTAACAATACCTATTGAATGAAAAATCTTATGATCATAATAAGCTGTAGAGTTTGAGCTAGACAATGAAAATTGACTTGCCCGTCTATTTTGGATGTCATCTGTACAAATTGTTCTTTGGTTAGAGTACCATGATGTTGTTTTAAATGACAATACTGCTAAAACTAACCATTTTCAAATTCCACTTTCCCTTTTTCTTATAGTGGATAACAACACTAAATCATATCTTATTGCATAAGCTTTTGTGTCTGTCAAAAAAATTGAATCCTATAACTGGATCCTAGAATGTACAAAAAAAGCAACAATGACTGAGCTGTTAGTATTTGTTACAGATGTAGATTCCACAGTAGATGCCACAATCAAAAAAATATGAAGACACCTATCAAGTTTACTGCATCTTTCACATCAGTGAAAATTTACCAAAAAACCTCAAATCTAAGCTTTATAATCAATATGATAGTTTTGTTCATGATTTTTTCCTATATCACAACCTGTGTGAAAAAAGTTTTTATGAATGATGGTATTTTTTTTCTTGATTCTATTGCTAATTTACTTCTTAGCAATTTCCTTTAGTTTCACAGATTTCTTTTTATTTCATAGATTTTTTTGATTTTGTAGATTTCTTTTGTGTTTCACGAATTTTTTTGATTTTTTGAATTTCTTGTGTTTCACAGGTTTTTTTTCAGTTTTACAAATTTCTTTTTATTTTATGAATTTTTTTTTGGTTTCGTAAATTTCTTTTTGTTTGCGGCTGGATGAAAGAGTTTAAAAGTTTTTAAAGATTTTTTTTTTTTGATAATAAAGTCATAGCTTACTGAAAAATATCCCAACGCCAAAGATTACCTGATGAGGGTGCTCTATTCTAGCTGACATGCACGAGCCTGTGCATTCATATCAAAAAATATTCACAGCAGGAGTTCAAACTACTTCTTGCGTTGAAGGCCTTAATGGTATTATCAAATGTACATTGTAGCAAGTAGTAGTATATGCAATCTTGCTGATGTACTGGATGCGAGACTTCAAAATGAGGTGCAGTGGAATCATTTCTTTGAGTATTACACCACGTCATCATGTATGGGAATTGTATCAGTTGGTTATAATCTTTTTCCGGAAATTGATAAACAAATGACTAAGTATTTCCCCCATATATTGTCTGCAGAACAATCGGAAATAGCACAATGCCTATATTTTGTTGTGGGTCAAATAAATCCTGCAAATAAAAATAATGAGGTAAATGAAATCTGATACAAATATTTAAAGTTATTTACACATCTAACATTTCTGTTTAGGATTTTAGTAGTCTTGATGTGGCAGATAGATTTGTTGAAAATTTGTACAATGCTAAACAAATTTTATTGAAATCGATGATCACTGAAGTTGGTGAAGAAAATGTTCAGGAAGTGTGAAAAATCATAGATATACGACCCGAAAATAGCAAATACTCATATTTTGTGGTGGAAATTGATTCCATTTCATATCTTTGTTCATGAATGTCCAATATATCTCGTGACATCATTTGTCACCATTATTTTTGAGTAATGATGTATTCAAAAATTGCAGGATTTCATATTCAAATGATTCTCTCACGATTGTATTCTGATTTTCCAAAAGATAACAATTTAGTTACTAAAGCTGCTACTTCATAAATAAAGAATCCGCAAAGAATCATTCAAATGAAATGCTTACTTCAAATCCCTCAACCATATCCAAATCTGTGACATGTGTTCTACATCATGCAGTACAACAAAAACTCAAATATGGAGAAGTGTGAAGATTGGCATGACATGTAGCTCAAATCGCTGTTGAGCATAAAAATTACAGTGAGATGGTTGCATGGTTGAAAGAGTTTATTGAGCGACACAAAGAAATAGCAGCTGGGTCAGTACAAAATCAGAATCTTCAAGAATCTACCCAATACAAGAAATAGTGGCTGTGGCTGGATCAATATGAAATTGAGATTTTCTAGAATCTACCAAAATTCAAGATAATACAAACAAGGAA